TGAGGATGAGAGGGGGCACACTCGGGGGGTATTTGAGGATGAGGGGGCCACACTCGGGGGGTATATGAGGGAAGGGCTGAGCAACCGAGGAGATGGGCTGGACATGGAGGGTGAGGGAAAGAGCAGCAGGAAGGATGGGGAAACTGGCTGCCCCGATTCACCCAGGCCTCTAGGGGTCTGGCAGCATGAGTCCCACGTCCTCGACAACAGCATGGTTTCTGCCTGGAGCAGCTGGAGAAACGAGGTGTCAAGTGTGGAGGTGGGGAAGATGACAGGCAGGCCTAGGGGAGGCATCCAAGCCCAGCTTCAATCATCCCCACTCACTCCCGCTCACTCGTCTCCAGAGGCCCTCTTAGCAGCGATGCTGCCTCTCTGCCCATCGCCCCTTTCCCTGGTCCTCCTGTCCACCCCGGCCACATTGCCTCTCTGGGGCCCCTCATGCATGCTGCTCCCTCCCTCACTTCCGTCAGGCCACAGCTCCCCGGCCCCTAACTGTGACACCTTCCCTGACCACTGCCACCCAGACCCCCACCCTCTGACCCTGCTATTTCCCCAGAGCACTCACCCAGCTGTCTGCTGTACACGTACATGCTGTACATGCTGGTGTCTGTCGCCCCAACTAGAACGCAGTTCCAGGAGGACAAGAGCCTACAATATTCTCTTCCCTGCACTATCCCTAGGGCCTGGACAAGACCTTGCACATGCAGGTACTCAGTGTGTGCTCCTCGCCCAGGGGGCCTTGTCCTAGGCCTCCCCTCACTGCTGGACCCGCCCAGGGCTCCATCATCGGCCCAGTCCCCCACCCCTCCTCAACACACTCTCCTCTCAGGGAGGTAATCACCAGCCAGGACCTGGTAACTCCCAAATCTCTCTTGCTGGCTTGGACATCTTCCCAGAACTCCAGACCCTAACCATCCCTCCGCTCCCCTTGCTACTTTGTACCCAGTTCTACTCAGGCTAAGTTTCTAGATCCATCTCCCCCAACCGGACTGAGAGCTCCACGATGACAGAATACAGGGCAGTCACCTTTGTGTCCCCTGCAGTTTCAAACATATAACGGGTGCCCAATAAACATCAAATTGAATTGAAATAGCCATCCCAAAGAAAAGAAATGCAATCAACGTTCATGGTAAAATGAAACTAAACAAAAAAGGGAAATGGATCAGTACGAAAAACAGTTTAATTTTAAATTAAATGTTAAATTAAAACATTTAAATGTTTTAAAAATTAATTTTAAACGTTAAATTTTTAAAACATTTT